TTCACTTGTCGCTTGTGAACAGGTTGAGTTTAGATTTGAGAAATTTTACAAATCTGCACTGTTCGAGTGTTGTCATTTTCTTAGAGACAGTAAATGTCATGAATAAATTTGACATTAAATATAATCCATTTTGAAGCTTTACATCATGTTCAGCTCCTTTTTGGCATCTGCATTTGGTAACAGGTCAAATTGACAAAAACCATGCAGAATAATGTATTTTAATTCCACAGCAGAGAAAGCTATGTAGTCTCTATATGTAGGTCTAGGAAAAATGTATCGGTATTGGTATCGGTTATCGGCCAAATAAGTTTTAACATATTGGCATATCAGCCAAAAATCCAACATTGTGCATCTCTAATAACTATTATTAAGATGAGTGTTGGTGTAAGCATGAAACTTTACAAAGAGATTTTTGTTTTGTAGTGTTGTATAAAGCCGACTCAGTTTTTCTCTCCTGCTCATATTTTAGTTTCTGTGTACAGCACACCTAATCCACTGGCCAAACAAGGGTGGCCCCCATGAAAATGAAAAGTTTCTGATCCATAGGAGCACGATGCAGGGATGAAGCATTGTGATTAAGACTGTATTAATGGGGCCATAGGAGGCTGGAAGGCTTTAATCAGTGTCTGTGTGCTGATAATCCCTCTGCCTTTAAGCTGAGGCAAATAGAGTTCGCCCCTCCTTTTGAGGCCACAGCACGCACACACACACACACACACACACACACACACACACACACACATACACACACGTACATGTCTCTGTGGGGTGCAAAGGGCTTTGGGTGCCCAGGATGAGAAATAGAGCGCCACACAACACAGAGAAGCTAAACAAGCAGCTGGCTGAAGAAAGACCAAAGAGATGATTTACAGACAGGAATGTTGGCAACACTTCCCATCAGGAGACGATTCATAATTTTAGTGTTGGTCACAGTCAGTAAGATTTGAAATAAATATAGCTTTTAATTTGTAACTGGCACAAGTTTGATTTATTTATGACACTTGAGGCATTTATGAACTTTTGAAAAAAATATTAAAACAAAATCACAGTAATTAAGTTTCAGCAATGGTTTTTGACTTAAGGTATAAATATAATGACATTCAGTTCAATTAAATTCAATTAAAATATACTTTATTAATCCCAAAGGGAAATTACTTGTTGTTGTAGCTCATCTTGGTTTCATTAGAGTTGTTCTAGACGCTGATGTTTTTGGGCAGGAAGGGTCTTTGGGCAGGAAGGATCTCTTGTAGCAGTCCGTCCCACAGCAGATCCAAAGAAACTAGCTACAGATGTCAATCCATCCACCCAGAGCCAGCAGAACTCTCGGTCCTCTTGGGCAGCAGGACTGCCTGAATGTTGGGCAGAACCTCTCCCTGAGTGATGGCCATTTCTCCCAGCAGCCTGCCAAGCCCCTTGTTGCTGGAGACTTAACTGCAGGTGCCAGGGGATGATCTTGGTCCTCCCACTGTCACAAGCTGCGCTTCCCACTACCTCCAAGATCTCTGCAGTCAGGCACGCGAGCACTGCCTCCAGGTAGATGGGAATGCATCCACGGCACCTCTTTTTCAACTCATTTGGGATTTGGGGTTGTAGTTGAGATTTGAGCTTTTTAGATGTTCATCAGGTGCTCCCAGTTGTAGAAAACCACCATGTTGTTTTGGTTATGCATCATAACAAATGTCCAAAAGTAAAAAAAGTTTCAGTAAAAATCCTGCCAGCAGCACAGCATCTGATACAAAGGAAGTAATCATTTGAAAAAAGCTATTTGCATTCAGAAAAAAAAGAGTAATTAAAGATTTCAAAAGCAAATTTTCAGAATAAATGTGAGAGCTACTCCAACATGCAGCCACCTTGAGCAGTGCAATTCTGGAATTTAACATGGAAGTAAATAGAAAACTGCAGTTAAACTGATCAATTTTATGACGGGGAAACAATTTACTAAAATGTTTCTAAGAGCCGACAACATACAGTATTTTAACAAATGTCCTGATGCAGTCAGTAATCTAGAGGAAGTGCTTTGAGTCACAGTTTCTTTATTGTCATTCGCATCACATGTGGAACATGTGGTGGAACGAAACTGTGTAAACAGGGACCCAGTTACATCCAACAATAAAATGTAAAAGAGAAACAGTAATAAGATCTAAGATATGAACTAAGAAAAATGTCAACTAAAAATACAATAAGTACTAATAGCATAAAAACAATACGCCGAACAGCAGCAAGAACATGAGTCTGTATGAGCAGATGAGCACGAATGAACACAGTAACATGAAATAAATCAGCAGCAACATGATGTGATTTTTTTCACGGTGATTATCCTGATTAGAGATTCATGAGTCCAACAGCCTCAGGGTAGAAGCTGTTCCTCAGTCTAGTGGTTCTACACTTAATGCTCCTTAACCTCCTTCCTGAGGGGAGCGGAGCAAAAAGTGTGTGTGCTGGGTGGGTGGGGTCCTTCATGATTCAGGTGGCTTTCTTCCTGCATCTGGAGGTGTAGATGTCTGTGATGGTGGGGAGGCTGACTCCGACTTTTAGATAAAAGATGAAACATTTCAACAAAGAATCCGTCCAGTGGACCCGACTTCATCTTGGTAGAGATATTTTTCGCAAACTTAAATATTTAGGAACACAACAGGAACAAATTGTGGCAGCTATCAGGTACAGAAACAAACACACATGCTATGTGTAAAATAGAACTACAATGGGAAGAAGAGAACATTTCTTAGTTTGTAATTTCTCTAATATTTTTTATTTATTCAGGGTTTGGTAAGTTGTTGCTTTCCCTGTTTCCCAAAATGTCATATTTTCTAAAGATTTGATTTTGTTCTTTTAACCATTCTATTTAAGAAGTTTATTTTCTGAACTGTTTTCTGATATTTTTTCTGATTTGCTGCAGCACTTTGTGAGACATTAAGCAATTTAAAGATTTTTTTAATGTCATTTTTTATTAGAACTTTATAATCCACTTTATTTTGTATCAGCTTCTCTTGTATTAAAAGCACTCATATTCTGGAATATTGTGATTATAAAAATTTCCACCAGCAGTGAATATAGTGTCAAGTTAAAGATTATATAAAATATAGTTTGCTCTAATTGAGCCATAATAATAATCAGAGTTGTGCCCTGGAGGAGGAAAGAGAGCAGGTTCATTACCTCTGGAAGTGGCTGTGAACGGTGACAATGATGTGCATGAGCAGAAGGGGTGGACCTTCCCCTCCCAGAGTTCTCTCCAAGTATTAGGCTGCAGGAGTTAAAGAGCCTCTAATGGGATCTGGATGCTCTCGTGTTTACCATGGCCCCCCTCTGCACGCCCACTGCATTGTAGAAGTTTTGGGGCTTGGGGACACCACAATGGGCTGAGTGAAGGGACAGATGGAGGTCTTTTTGGAAAAAGGCACAAAAAAGGCCAAGGTAGGAGGGACGTGATGTCTGAGAGCAAGCATCAAATACAACTGCAGACACATTGGAGGTGAAAGAGGGAAACGAGTTAAATCAGGACTTTAGGATTTCATAATTCAGACAACAGTAGAATGTAGTTTGTTTTTTGGAAATTTATAAGTGGGTTTGGTATAGAGGTTTTTCTATCACCTGCATCATACTGCATTTCTGCAGTTTCTTAAATAGTTTAGTATTGGAAATGTGGAGGTTTACATTTTTTTTATAGCTAAGATTTTTAGATGCAGACATATTTGCATTTGGTTTATACAATCATGAGGTCAAACGCTGATGTCATTTAAGAAAGTGAATGCAGATCAGGGAGAAAGTCTGATAGATGCTGATGAGCAGAGAACAAGCACTGCAGAGGGAGGTTCTGTCTGTAGGAGCAACAGATGGGGTCTGATGGAGAGCTCAGGTTGTAAAGTTTCTGTTGACAACATCTGTCCATCCATCTGCTACATTTTCTTTACAATTTGTGAGGCTGGGAATTATAAATTAGGAAACAAATCTTACAATATTTTAGATTAGAACAACCAAACAGGCTTCCTGAGGAAAACTCCCCCCTTCATCTTTATTAAAACAAGCCCATCCTGAATATGGTTCTTAAAAAAAGTCCCACAATTTGCACAAAGGAGCTCATCTTTGACATCCGTTCTGGTTTAGTCCTTTTATTTTATGGAGCACACATGGATAAATGAATCGACACTGAACATGGATCTAAAGCCCGATTAAAGACACATATGCAATTATTGTAAACAATTTTTTTTTTAACCACGCCATTTCTAATAATTTAAATGTTTGTCTAAGAACACTGGAGACCTGGACCAGTTAACAGTGGTTGTCAAATACTGTAATTCAGCTTTTCACCCACAAAATAACAGTGGCAGAGTCTTGAGACTAAACGTAAAAGTGTACAACTTTTTCAAAACCCCCAATAGGCTATAAATTTACTGTAAAAATACTCAAATATACTATAAATATTTAATGACCTTTATTGATGCAAAACCATTATGGTGAATAATGACTTACTGACTTCTGGAGAAGTTTTAAAGAACCATTACTTGGGATTTCATGTTTCATAGTTGAGTCCTAACATGTTGGACACCAATTTAAAGAATGTTCTGTCCATCCATCCATCATCTTTACCCACTTCTTCCTTTTTGGGTTGTGGTGTCACTGGTGTTCATATCCAGCTTTCAGTGGGAGAGGTGGGGTAGATCCTGGACAGGCCGCAAGTCTGCATTACAGTTTCACTAGAAATGTTACATCACTCATGGGCTGATGTTTGTGCACGTATAAAAGTATACATGTTCAATTTGCTTTGCTGTGAGCGGATAAAAAAAAAAAAAAAAAAAAAAAAAAAAAAAAAAACTTAAATTAAAGTAGATGATCTGGGCTCAGTGGCCAGAGCATTACATTAATGACGGTGGAAGGTTGAAGAGAGCATCTTTTAATCCAGCATGCCATTCAGCCCGGAGTGCTTGTTTCTGCTATAAAAACCACAAGTTTAAGCTTTGGCAAACATATTAACCTTTAATTAAGAAAGGGTTTAAACAGTGCCATGTAGGGTACTTTCTTGGATATTAGTTGCATTACTATTTTCCTGCAGTTTCAAATGATCAGAACAATCCTGCAATGCTTCTTGCAGCCCATCCATCCGCTCGGTGTTGGACAAGTGTCCTGGCAAGCCCTCTCAGCACACCGTCCCCCTATATGTAACAGATGTTACTGGGGCAACAGTTGGTATTGAAAAGGAGGGGCTTCAGGCCATCTGTCCAGGGTCAAGGTTTGAAAAGATGTGGCCGAGATGGTGACACGTTCAGGAAAATGGCAAGTATTCTCATATGAAAAGAGGGAATATAGCCCACATTGTAATCCTGCTTAATGTGGGCTTTCAGATCAGAGGACATTTGTGAATGTTTGGAGAGATTGAGGCAGTCTGTGACATAATGTGGGACATGGGAAGACTGCGGCTTCCAAGCTCTAAACTACCATCTTGTGGTTAGAGACAGAACTGTAGAAAAAAAAAAAAAAAAAAAAAAAAAAAAAAAAAAAAAAAAAAAAAAAGTCAACCAAACTTCATACAGTAGTTCTCAAAAATGTCACCATTTTATTATCATTTCTTAATTATCTAAAATTGACATCTCCAATACTACTTTAATTCAAAAAATAAATAAAATTGCTGCCAAGAATCACATCGACTCCAACTGAGAACTTAGTCGTTTAAGAGTTTGGTCCACACAGTCCTGGACATATTTCATCTTCTTATGACAAACCTTCCTCTGCAAAAGTAAATCAGTAGAAGCACACAGACTTAAGCAAAAACTAATTTCACACCACTTCAGCAGGATAGAAACTCACCAGGAAGATCTTTGCCCTCTCTTTTTCCAGGAGAACAAATTCACGCGCAGTGAGCTCCATGAATTTTCTCCTCAGTAATAAAAATCCACACTCTGGGGAGCGTTTCACGTGCTCAGACCTGCTTAGAAAGATTACAGAATAGAAGGAATGTGTCCAACGCAAAACAATTAAGATTACTGCCCACCACTTTCATGTAAATTTTTTTACTACAAACCTATGAAAAAAAAAAAAAAAAAGTTTTAGCAATTTGCCAGGACATTTTTTTTTATTTTTTTTTTTAGCCCTCATAATGCATGTTGGGATGACATTTAGCTATTATGTCAAATTTAAGCCCCATAGCTGAAAAACTGACTTGAAGTTATGAACACCCCCTCCCACTCTTGACAATCTATAGCCATCTTGAATTCAAAGTTATTTAATAGACACACATCTACTCTCAGTGTTTCATTAAAATTTGTCTACAAGTTCATTAGATATTTTGCCAACATGACAAACGCACCCAAACAGATAAAAATAAATAAAATCCCGTCGCTGAAGGATTTGAATAGTGAATGTTTGCATTTCGAGCCAAGTGTTGTATCCCTCCCCCCCACTCCATCCGAGGTGGTGCAGAGTGATGGATCCTGGTGAGTTAAGGGAGCAATTTTATCCATCACAAGGTGCAATGGTGGAGCCAGGGGGTGGCCAAGGCCACACCAATCATTTGAGGAAGCTATACTTAAGGAACATAACAGCTAGACAGAAATGATTCTCCAGAGGATAGTGGTGGCTGATTTTGGCCAGGAAGTTGGCCCTTTGCTTGGCATCTCGCTCAGAAGACGAACAAACAGTGGGCATTTCTAATTCTCCTATTTTGCTCCACAAAAAAAAAGGTGGAAAATGAAGAAAAACCTAATTAATACAAAAGGAAGTCATATTGTCATTCTTACCAGGGATCATCATCGGGCTCCCAGCCCTCCAGCTCGATAAGGCAGAAGAAACAACAAGCAACATCCGGTTCATTCTCACTGGGACAGTGGACAAACCCGGCCATGGCCATCTGCAGAGACGGCAACAGGAGCACAATGAAATCTTTAATGATCAGAAACAAAATGCAACAGGATTAGTTCCAGCAGCCAGGATGAAAGGGAGTTCTTCCTCTGGCCTTCAGTGGCACTACGAGCTGGTAACATGACGAGTGTCAGCAGCTCATTCATTATGAGACCGATTCAGTGGGAAATGTCTGTTCACTGGACAGCTGAAAAAACTGGCACATGGTGTCCTAATGTAGTGCTCTTTCACAGTATGTTGCATTAAAAATAACTTATATGCCTGAAACACACAAAAGAGGGTTTTTGTTTAACTAGCCATTAGCCTAGCCTGGGTGAATATTTCAGCCTTTATCTCCATACTCAGACACCAGCTGTGATGTCATGTTCTAAAGACACAGACCCCATGCCAAGATGATTAAATATAAAGTATTTTTGTTAAAAAAAAATATATACATATTACGCCACTTAAAGAATCTCCCAAGACTTTGCACAAACAAAAGTCTCTATGGCACAGTTGTCCTACATTTCTCTGCTTACCTTTGCAGGTGTGCAGTTACATTCCTCTTTAAATGGCCAGTCTGCAAAGCTTTGTTCTCGCATGTCATGAAGGTACATTTTGTCATATAATAAAAACCTGGCCATGAGCAAATCTATGCTTGCCATATTTTGAGCAGAAACAGGCTCAACCCAACATGTGTTAAATTCCCAGTATCCATGTTATGGTTTTATGCTTGACAGGTTGAGCTCTTCTGCACACCTACGCAGATGTTTCCACTTTGGGCTGATTAAACCCTGCTGGAGGTCAGGGAACAGAGAGCTCAGATGAGAACATGAGCTACCAACTGCATCATCCAAGGGCTCTCTGACGCTCAAGCTAAAAAAAAAAAAAAAACATCATGGGAAATACTTATCTTTGTTGAGAATGCACAAATAAGGTGAACACAATAGTTCCTGTATAATCACTGGTACCTGTTAGAGACGTTTTTAAAGCACAGTAACTGGTTTGATTAAATACAAATAAAAAAAAGTCACCCTAGGCGTCAATATAAGCATGAACTCCTGCAATCCTGCACATTGCAGCTAATCCTAAACTTGAAATTTTACATTTCTTTAAATAAAGACAGTCTTACTTCAGTTTTTACTGTCAGATCAATTGGATTTTGGAAAACAATCAAATGACTAACTGGACAAATTTGACTGATATTGATCAAAGATTTGGTGTCAGAGTTCTGGAGAGTGATCTTCAGCCCATTTTATGAGCAATGACCAAAATATTAGTTTACTTTTTTTTTTCTAAAAACTATTGAAGTCATCTTTATATTTCTGCCAGCTATCTGAACTGAAACTTTCAGATAGTAATTATTGAATTATGTACAAATAATTAACTTTTGGAGGCCACCCAATTTAAGATGGTCACCACAACCAAACTGACCTTAGAAACCACAAAAAGACTAACGCAGTCAATTTAAAGATAACAAGTGTAATTTTACTATTGTTAGTATCTGAAAATCACCTCCAGCACAAACTTTGAGCTCTACAAATTACATAAAACTTTTGCTCAAAACTTTGACATTAAATATTGGAGTGACTTCTGTTTGTCTGTTAGCAAAATGTATCATAAATTACTAAACATACTTG